GACGCAGGGCCACCAATCTCCACATTTAATGCTACACCAGGCTGCCCAGGGCCCCATCTAACCTGGTCTTGAATACCTGCAGGGATGGGACATCCATAGCCTCTCTGGTAGCTGTTCCAGCACCTCCCCACTCTCTCTGTGAAGAGCTTCCCCTGATATTCACTCTAAACCTTCCCTCATTGAGCTTCAAACCATTCCCCCTTATTCTATCACTAACTACCCAAGTAAAAAGTTGATTCCCCTTTTTATGATCCCCTTTTAAAAACTGAAAGGCTGCAATGAGGTCTCCTCACAGTCTCTACTTCCAGAGAACAGCGTATGCAAAGGTGCACTTGTGCATAAATATAGATATTAAAGCCACCCGTAACACCCCAACATTTGGGAGTTTAAAAGCAACCAGAAGAAATCACCTCTTAGTTATGAGCTGTTGGTGTAGGCTGCAATCCTTACACAGAATATACCACACACCACTACTAATAACATGATCCTACTATCAACAGCAGGGACAACAGAAACCCCACTAAATAGAACTGCTGAAAGCTGCTGGAATTTTCAGAAAGGAAGGAAAAGGATGGTAAAGCAAATATATTTCAAGCTACCCACTGAACAAGGGAGGCACGCGAAACAAACAGAAACTAGGGTGGAAAAGAGCCAAGCAGCCCCAAAGCGAGCCACAGAATCACTGTATTTCCACAGAATGGCTTAGGTTGGAAAGGACCTTAAAGATTATGTAGTTTTAATCTCCTGCTGCGGAGAGGGCTGCCCAGAGCCCATCCACGTCCTGCTGCACCTCCACGACGGGCCACCCACAGCTCTGGGCAGCAGCACCAGCGCCTCACTGCCCTCTGAGGGAAGGATTTCCTCCTCACATCTAACCCCGATCTTAAACGAGGTGATGCGTTTCATTGCTGACACCGTAAGTTCTGTACTTCTGACCTGCCAGCGCCTCTTCTCTCCCCATCGCTGCTACAGCTTGAAGTCGCTGAAGGAGAGCAGGGCCGGTTGTGTGCTGTGGGGAAGGCGGCCGGCGAGGCGAGCAGCCCTAAACCCCCAGCCCTACAGCCAGCACCCACCTGTCCTTTGTTCCACAGCCCTAAAGCCTCGGGCAGGAACTTCAGCCCGAATCCGGTCAACTCGGATCCTCCGCTTATCTCATTTCAGCACAGCCCGGCGGTCACAGCGCGGCCCCGCATCCCCCTCACAAACCGCCTCCCGACACCCAAACGGCGGCGCCGCCCCTCCGCCCGCGGGGCCTCGCCCAGCCCGCCGCTCCCCCAACGCTCGGCCGCCGCCCCCCGCCTCAAAGACGGGGAAGGTCAGGGCCGGGCCCGGCCAGGCGCCTACCGGCAACGCCCCGCAGCGCGGAGCCGCCGAGCGGAGCCGTGTGCCGACAGCCGGGCCCCGCCGAGCCGCCCCGCCCCCCGCACTCACCCCGCAGCTCCCACTATGGCGGCGGCCCCGTGCGCGGCGCGAACCCCCTCAGCCTTTCTCGCCCGCGTTCCCCGCCCCGCCCCACACAGCCCGGCCCCGCCCCGATGCACGCCGGGAAAACGAGTGCGGCCGGAAGCGGCGCACGGCGTTGAGAGGGGCGTGTAGGACTACAAATCCCGACGTGCCCCGCGGCGCCGCCCGCGGTGGCTCATTTGAATGAGGGGACGGAGAGCGCGCAGCGCTGCGCTGCGCCCGCGGGCCGTGCCCCGGAGCACTATGGGATTGCGGCGGAGGGCTGAGGGGCTCCTTCCCATCCCCGGCCTCGCAGCCCCTTGGCTGGGCTCTGTAACCAGAGCGGGACAGATAGCGCGGGTTTGGCCCGTGGCTGCGTAAGGCTTGTAGTCCTGACAGGATTTCCCCACAGAGGGGTGCGGGGGACGTTCCCTGTGTGAGGAAATGGCTGCTTGTCCCAAAATTCACCTCAGCACCCCTCAGAGAAGCTGCACAGTGAAATGCGTGGATAAGAAACGCAATGTGCTTCTCAGATCCCCTCTAGGGAAATCAATTTGGGTAGAAGTTGAGGCGTGGTAGAAAAACGGCTTCAAATAGATGCTTCCACACATAAATGTTGTAGGAGATTGGAGCTCGGCATGGCTCAGGCTGAGCACACAAAGCAGCGGCTGGGTGGGCTGGCAGTGGGCTGAAGGCTTTGCTCTGCTCTGTGGGCGTTGCATAGCCTGGAGATGTGGCCATGATACGAGGCCTTCCTGTGGCTGTGGGGGTGATGAGGGCTGAGGGAACACCTGGAAAGCTGACTGAAAGTGGCTGACTTGAGCCCCAGCCCCACCCAACACACCACTGAGGGCCTGTGCCTTCCAAAAGGTTTCTCACTGCCAGCACTGCCTTTCTCTGAGTTCTTTGGGGCCTCAAGGATTTGTGCCATGAAAAAAACCTGTTTCTTCAAATCACAGAGCGTGTGACACTTTTGTATAGGTGAACGTTTTGCACGCAGCAATCCTGACTCATCAGTTGTGTCATTTTTTATTCAGAGGGCTGTGAAGGAAAGCTGAGGGAGCTGGGCTTGTTCAGCTTGGAGAAAGCTCTGGGAAGACCTCATTTCTTCTGGCTGATGTGCTGCAGACAGTTGCAAACACAAGGCCAGAGTCTAGAACTTGCAGGCCGTGTAACACGGCACTCATTTTGTGCCTACTGTTCCTGTTGTAGTCAGGATAGCAGAAGAAATATCGTTCAGGATGTGGGTGCCCAGATGTAGTGGCCCCTTTTTGCTCTGTGTAGCAAAGGTTCTAACATGTGAGGGAGCAACATGGAAAGAATTTGAGGGAGAATTGCTATGAGAAAAGTAGAATGTAAATGAAAGTAGAATGGAGCATATTAAGGAGGTAACTGGGCTTTAGGGATGTTTTGCTTGTGTGAGAGCTGTTCCTCAATTGTTTTTTTAACAGAATGAACGTGCTGAAGGTTCTGCTTTAACCCAAGGAAAAGAGCAAAGTGATGAAGATCCACTAGCAGGGTGTGGTAAAGTCATCATCCAGAAGAGCACAGTTTGTATTTCACCTGAATAATCAGACTGGCTGTGCCCATTGCTCTGCCACTGCCAGCTTGCTTTCTGAGGCCATCCCAGCACACCTTTCTGAACTGCAACATTTCTATTGGGAAGCCACTGCTGCTTTCTGTATCTGGGAGCAATGCTGGGAGCCTGGGTGGAGAAGAGCAAAGGGAGCTGCCTGAACAGGATTGAGGTGCTCCAGGAACAGGCCTCAAATCCTCTGCTGTGAGAGAAAAGAGGGATGGCAAGAAGGAAAAGAATTGTAAGGAGCAGAAGGCTAGGCATTGTTCATGCTGGCTCATTTTAACCCTGATCTAACCCAGAATTTCATCTGTCCTGATCTTTGTGCAGAGAGCAGGGAAGTTGAGGTTGTATCAGTAACATTCACCATCCAGCCTGTAAGCCCATGCTTTCTAGAACACCAGTTCCCAGGGGAGCCTCCAGCCTGCACGGTGACGGTTAATGGCACAGTAACTTCTGCTCTGTTCTGTCCTTGTCACATCGGAGCTCAGGTCACAAGGAAGAGGTAGGAACGGGGCAAGACTGTGAGTATGGGCAGAAAAAACTGCAGATAAATAGTTTGAGCAGAGCTCTGGAGAATATTGTTTGTGAATGAACACACCAAGATGCTGTGTCAGAGGCCATGAAAAGAACCATACGTCCCCCAATCGTTTAATAGGAGCAATAATGATCTCTAAAACACAGGTGAATTGAGCAAGCCTTGTGCAGGAGGATGTTCAGGGTTTTATTTACATAAAAGAGGGCTTTGCATTGGAAAGAATTTTCCTTGTGTCTTTCTCCTGTTTGATTCTGAATATGGAATTAAGGTTTTCCCTTAGAGCAATAAAAGCCACTCTAAGGAAACATTCTTCAAGTCCCCTCCTGGAGCTTATTTCTTATCATATACACACAAACACACAGGAACATGGCAACCAAAGACAGTTGATGCTGGTAGAAGAATACTGAGAGGATGTATGTGAGCTCAGAATGCAGGATGCAGAAAGGTGAGAAGTTAAAATGGAAGAAAAAGCATTTGCATTGAGCATAATACAGTTCATGTCTGAGGTACCTTCCTAATTAGCCTCTTAATTCACTGCCAGTATGGTTGCTCACTTAATTTAGCAACAAATGGGGGAAATTGTGCACGAGGAAAAATTTTCACTGCTTCATTTAATGTTTGTAGTTCACCCCATTAAATGTCTGATGCACCAGCTATAATTTTTTGCCTTTTACAATTATTAATAATAATTGCAATAGTTGCAAGCAATCTCAGATGACGAACTTCGGGAATTACACAAGAAAGCAGCACACTGGCTTTTCCCTGCACACTGTAGTGGGCACACTCACTCCCTGCACACTCACAGGAGGCCAGGGTTCCTCCTTCCTCAGCCACGTGTGGTGTGTGAGCCTCACGCTGTCCCTTCAGTGTAAGCACTGTGTGGGAAGTCCAGCTCTTTCTGCTCAAATTGCTCCTATTTAGAGCCTGTTTATTGTCCTTGTAGCTGTCTGCTCATCAGACAGCTCCAGCTCCCTGAGTAGGCAGGCACATAATTACACAGAACAGACCTCAAACTCCTCTTCCTTACCCTACATTAATTGAAGGACGTTCAGGCTGTGGAATAAAAAGTCATTCCCAAAGAGAAGTAAGCTATAGCCACCGACCTTTCAGCAATCCAGTCAGTCTAACTGCAAACGTCCCATTTTCATTTGTAATACATCAGCCTCCAAGGTAAATGTTTAGCAAGTGAAGCCTATAATGATAAAACTACTCTCACTGGGAGAGGGAAGCAGTGAGTCAGCATTAAAAATCTTCAGGCCCCCAGATAAGAATGCTATAGAATGGCATGGCCAACAAAATTGCAATGTTAATTTTCCAGATGTATCGGTATTCACAGTAATTAGGAAGTTCCTTTGGTCAAAGCAGGGCAGTTTGCAAAGTTCCACCTTGGACAGAAAGCATCGCAACCCCTCTGGAGCTCCTCACAATTACACAACACGGAAGCAGGAAACAAAACAAAATATACTTTATTAAAATTAAGCATGTTAGCACCTCAGTGTAACCTGGAGAAATCGAACAGTCCAGCAGTTAACCAGTCCAGCGGGCTAAGTGGCTGAACATCCTGAAGTGCATTCCAATGGTAAAAAAAGTACCATGACTGTTAAAACGAGTGTGTTCTCAAGAAGCTAGGATGCACAAATGGTCTCGTTTGTAAGGAGAGACGTTGTGCTGCCTATTGTCTTGATGGGAGCATAGATCTGCTGGACCAATTACATATGCTAAATCAGATAGGGTAGCAGGTATCTGCTTTCCCTACCACCCCTTCCCCCCCAAAAAACAAAACAAACTTGCTGCTTACTTGACTTGCAGGAAAATCAGTACACTGCAGAGCTGAAGTTAGAGCTACATATCAGAGAAAATAAATTAAAATGAAAATAACAGGAAATACTTAGTACATGAATAGACCTGTAGTATCCTCACAGTCAACCATCCAACTCAGTACACACAGCAATAAAGAAATGACCCATGCATCACATAGCAGGCTCTGACAACCAATGCCTTCAGCTGAACTGGCTACATGATCAACAGATAAACCTCCAGCTAACAGATGCCAATGTGCCCTTTTGTTCCCTCCTACAGAGGGCATTGAAACCCACGGTTGGAAAGCTATGTCAGCCAGCGTTACAAAGATTACAATATTTTCAAACCAAAGATACTTTTTACATTTAGAAAATACTTATATAAAATGTAGTAAAATCGACATCTCGACCTACTAAGTGTAACACATTCCAAGTACAGGAAGATGATCTTACAGACCCAGAAGCCACCTGGGCACTCCCTCAAAAGTAATTATGGGCACACTGTGGTGAACTGCCTTTTGTTTCCAACACACATAATGGTCAACCTGCGTCCCCCCCCCAACCCAAGTACGCATGGAGATGGAGTCAGAGTGGCACATCAAATGCCTTCCTCCTGGAAAGCACCAAGGGCTCCGTTCCATGGCTCAGTCCAAGCTCATCACCTCACACCCCTCATTCCACAACCTTCTGGCCAACTTCCATTTGGTTTCCTGTTGCTGAATGTGAGGGGACTAATGCTGGCTAGAAACAGAAACTACACGATCATTCCACGTAAATTTGTTACAATACTTTTAAATCTTGGTTTAAAACACGCAAGCACATTTCATTAAGATCTTACCTAAGGTACAGATTATTAGTCATGCCAACTAGGTTAGAATTAGACAGCAAGGGTTTGCAACCACTGCAGATACATTTGCTTCACTTTGGCTTCACCCCAGTTCGCTGAACGAAAGCCAAGGATTTAAATTCCAACATGTTACAAAGCCTGTGTTTCACGAGAGGGAGTTCTTAAGCCACTGGGATAAACTACAGACATCAAATGCCACCAGGTTCTTTGTACCAGGTCACAATCCTTGCTAGTGTTGAGAGCAGAGACAACTGTAACAAATATGTATGTACTGCTGAGAAAGCCAAGCCTATATGAGCACTCATAAATTTTGGGATTCTTTTATATTAGAAATGGCAGTCTTTTATGGCATCAGTAATTTACTGAAGAAACACATCACCCTGAGAGGGTTTTCTAAAGCTTTCCTCATGCCTTTGCTAAGCAAGGCCAAGCAAAACATCGCTGTTTGTTCCTATGATGGATACAGTGGCAACCATGCTTTCAGACGTGCCTTCTCCAGGGGGTAGCGTTCCTGCCACCTCAACTCAGCGCAGTTTATTTGCTGAAAACCAACACCCTACATCCACTTAGTGGTGACACGGGGTCCCAACGCCCTAAATGAGAACAATTTCAAACTACACAGACAATGCCAGCGGATTTGGCGTAGGCCAGAGGTGTCTCTAAGAGGTCGCTGTGTTTGTAACAGCGTTCCTCGGCATCTCCTGAATCCGGTGGGTTTGCATGTGGGTGAGCGGGGCCACAGCTCGTGGCGGCCCTGTCCCGGGGTGATGGAGGCTCAGCGTTCAAGCAGGGCCTGGCCATGCCCCGGGAGGCGTCGGCCACCCTCAGAGGCCGTGGCGCTTTCGGGCCCCGACGCTGGCGGCGTGGAGCAGCCGGTCCTTCTCTCGGATCTCCTCGCGGAGCTGGGCCTCGGCCAGACGCAGGCGGCGGATGCTGCCCTTCATCTCCTTCATCTTTACCTCCAGCAGAGCGATGATGTCACGTTGCTCGTTCAGCTTCCTCAGCAGCTCCTCCGACGTGGTGCCGGACGACAAGGAGTACGAATGGTCCGGCGGGCCGCCTTCCACGGGGCCTTCCTGACCTACCGGCAACCAGCAGGGGCTGGGCCCGGCAGCGGCGGCCCCGAGCTCCACCTGCACCGTCAGGTCGATGGGCTTCACGTCCTCGGCCGCGCCCCCTACCGGGGCCTCGGCGGCGGGGCCGGGGCCCTGCGGGGCGACGACGACGGCTGTGGCGGCGGCGGCGGCGGCGGGGCGGGGGCGGCGGGCGGCCCGCGCTGCTTTGCGCTCGTTGACGCCGCGCAGCGGGAAAATGGTGGGCACCCGCACCAGGTAGGACTTGCGGCCGCCCTGGAAGTGCTCGCTGCAGACCCGGTGGCCGGTGGTGGGCTGGAAGGTGCTGAAGCAGCCGCTGACGCCCGCCCGGGAGACGTTCTTCAGCCAGAGGCGCCTCAGCTCCTCGTCCTTGGGGAAGGTGTAGAAGTGCAGCGCCTTGTCGCGGTGCGAGTTGTTGTAGCAGCCCGGCACGCAGCAGGTGAAGCCCGGCATGGCGGGGGTCCCTCGGGGCGCGGACGCGGGCCCCCCGCCGGACTACAGCTCCCACAAGGCCAACCGCGGCCTCTCGCCACTCGCCGACGCCGCCCGCCCGGGCCGCACCGGAACTACGCGGCCCACAATGCAGCGCGGGGAACGGGAGGCCGAGCGCCGCCTCAACGCCGCGCCGGAACTACGCGCCCCACACTGCGCTGCGCTTCAAAACTATCGTTCCCGGCGTGCCCCGCGGCGCGGCACTTCCCGTCGGGCGTCGCGGGATCTCGCGAGACTGCGTCCTGCGCGCGCGGCTTTCGACGCGACGGTTATCCGAGGGCTCCGCCATGGCCGGCAGGGCCGGACTCCGAGCCGGCCGCGGGGCGGCCCGCACCCAGAGCGTCGCCGTCAGGGCGTCTCCAAGACACCGGACTCGGGTAAGGGAGCAGGAGCCCGTCGTGTTCGCTGCGCTACGGGAGAGTTCTTTATTTATTCCTTTATGGGCGGTTGTGGTGGGGCTGAGGGGAGGTGAGCTTGGGGTTGCTGTCTGTGAGGAGTTACGCCGAGCCGAGCTTCGAGGGCGGGATTGTTTTCAGCTGGAAGCATTGCTAAGCAAAATTGTACAGTTTCTCCATAGGAATCTGGGAGAGGTGTGCTGTGAGCCATGTTTGGCTTTTATTTGGAGGTAGATACGGGTGATTTTAATGCTAAAGTTCATCCCTGCCGTGGGTCGTTGAGCTGCGTGTCCTTGATGTCTGTTCTCAGAGCGGATCTGGCTTGGGGAAGGAGAACAAGGGCGGCAGCAGCACCCCGCTGAGGCACAGACACAACACCTTGTCTGAGCTGGACAATGCCACGCCGCGCCTCATGCTGAAGAGGATCATCCAGAACCGTGAGCAGATGCCTGTTCTTAGCAAAGCATCGAGTAGAAGCGCAGCAAATGACAGCTGCACAAAGTTATGCCGTGCAGCTTCAAGCACCAGGTCTTCCGTTAATGAAAACTGTTTTTGAAAGTTATCTTTGTTGTTTTCTTTCCCCTGGTGCTGCCTGCTGCTGTGAGATGGTGTGTTAAGGTACAGAGGTGCTTGCTGCTTGCTCTGGCAAACCAAAGCTTTGCAGGTGGTGGAATACTGATGCTTCCATTTGGCAGCATTGGTTTGTCAGCCTACATGCCAGCTCTCCTAGGAGGGGAATCCAAATGCTTTGCACTTGGTCTTTGTTTTAACCTGTTCATAAATGGAATTTTAAGAGCTCAGTGTGTTTTTGACTCTTTCACGGAATTGTAGGGGTTGGAGGGGAGCTCTAGAGTCTCACAGGAAAGCATTCAGACAGATCTTGAATAGAGAAGACTTCTCCACTTCTCTAGGCAGCCTCTTCCAGCACTCTGTTGCCCTCACAGTAAGGAAGTTCTTCCTTGTGATAGTTTAGAACTTCCTGTGTTCCAGATTCTGCCCGTTGCCCCTTGTTCTCTTGCTGCACACCACTGAGAAAGTGGTGTGCACCCCCCCATAAATTTGACACCTGCATTTTAGATATTTATATCTTTGAGATTCCCTCTCAGCCTTCTCTTCTCTAGACTGAAATGTCCCAGGCTGCATTTTGACACTGTTGCCAGTTTGAGATGTGGAAATCAGACTCTTTGGTTTTGTTGGCAGAACCACAAGTGTCACCTCTAGCACTTCAGACAGTTCAGTTGGAAGAAAGAGAAGATGCTCAACCAGAGCCTCCATCTCAGAGGACTTCTAGCACGTGAGTACTTTTTTTGTGTGTTTTTTTGTTTTGTTTTGTTTTCTTTTCTTTTTACACTACCAAATATAGCTGCAGGTTCTTTTCTGCTGGAATTGAGGAGCAGGATTTCTTCTGTTTCAGCAGTGAGGTTTGTGTTGTCATGCAGGATTTTCAGAAGTAATCTCTTCAGCTTTAAAAGTACCAAAAGTACACTGGGAGTGAACAGTAGATACCTTGGGTTTGTACTAGTCCTCCTTGTTAAATACAGACTTTTAATAGTGTTTTACAGTGGAAATACTTGCTGGATACAAAAAGTCTTCTGATGGAAGTCTGCTTAATTTTCTATCATAGATGCTATTATAAAAGTTCTTGGATCTTTGCAAGTCTACAGGCTGTGCGCTAAAGACACTGGGGCGTGAGGTGTGGGAATGACTGACTGCTCTCTCTTATATTCAGAAAACAGGTTGCTGTTGTTGTTTTTTAAGTGTTACTGCTTCTTCATTGTCCCTGTACTGGGCTGCTTGCTCTCCTGTCGGGTGGTTTGCAGGTGGGGTTTGCACGAAGTTCATGTGCTTTTGTTCATGTTCAGCTTCCATTCTACTGTTAGGCCTGAGCTTTCCACTGTGAAATCAAGGAAAGCTGCTAGTGGTGGCAGGTATTCATTTGCTTTGACCACTTTATGCAATCATCTGCATTTTTGCTTACTGCAAAATAAAGTAACCTGTTATAAACAGTGTGATTTTTATAACTAAACTTTTGCATTGCCAGTAAACAACTTAAAACGGGTCCTGTAAAATACTAAACAAACTTCTGTCTGCTCTTCTGATAGAGGAAATCTGGGTTTGCTGTGAGTGTTGTAACTTAATTCCTTCCAAAAAATCAAACCAGATGAGCAATGTCATCTCAGGACCTTCTTGATTTTGCCTATTGGACTGCCTGCATATCTTCAAATGTATGTCTCATCAACCAGTCTTAAAATATCAGGTGGTTGGATATCTGCAGACTTACATTCTATATGTCAGCTAGTTGCTGAAGTTAAACAGGTGTAGACTTTTCCTCCTTCCTCCTAGCCTTCCTATGTGCCATTAGGTGAAGAGAGCTTCGGAATGTTTTGGGAGTCCAGACTTCTACCCTAACCTGAAGTTTCACATCCCTGTCCTTCTGAATATGCACTTAAGTTTTATTTCTCTTACCTTGTGAAATTTGTTTTAATATGCAAGAACAATATTTTCCCATATTTGCTGAGCTAATCTTTGATTAGTTCATTATTTCTGCTACAGAAGGGGCAAATAATTTCTATTTAATTTCGAGCAACGTTATGGGGAATACAGTTGAATAATAATGTCCTGTATTAAAGGCCAGATTTTTTTTTTTGATAGGGTGGAACTGCAACTGCCAGTCCTTGCTGCTGAGGATACATCTGTCACTGCATTCCATGTGACCAGGAAGAGAAAGAAACTCAGCGTGTCTGAATTTGAGAGAGCAGCAGACAAGCGGCTTCCTCAGAACCAGGGTAAGGATCTGCATTTACTGTCAAGTGATCTACTGTAGTTCAGCACCTAATAACTTCTCAGCTGGGAAGCAAGACTGCAGTATCTTGTACAATGAGGACAGCAAAGAAAGGGAAGTGAAGTAACTTTTTTTTTTGAATCCAAGTCACAGGCTCTGTCCTAATTGTATGTGACTTCTTGACTTTTTTCAGCTTGGTGCTCTTTTGTATTTTGAAACATCTGCAAAGGAAGCAATCCTTGTATCCAAATTCCAGAAACCTGAAAATAGGAAAAAAAAAAAGTGTAGATCTTGTTGTAGTTATGTCATGTAAGTTATGCAGCCCTTGGCTGGGGAAAAAGTGTCTTGGAATTTTATAAAGGAAATAATATTTTATGTTAGAATATTCCCTTAACGTAAAGCTTGTGAATACACTTTTATTTTAGTTGCAGTTTAGCAGAGACAGAAGGTTAAAACACCTCACCTTAGTTTATGTATTCTGTTGGCTTGTGTATTCCACTTGTTGTACCAAGTGGAATAGAATTTAAAGGTGGGATTCAGCTCCGACTTACAGATCTCTGAATCCGTGTGCCTGCATGTACGCTAGGTGGCTAAATTGCTCTTAAAGTTTAAATGAGATCTACTCACTGGAGCCTAGAGAGTGATTCAGCTCAGCCCAGAGGAGATGTATATAGTTGGTGAATTGTGTTTGACTGTAATGGGAACATGGATACCTGTGCTTGACTGCCTTAATCTGGAGCTGAATCCCACACTGACTCATCTGTGATCAGCAAATTGACTCACTTTTTCTTTTGTCCAACACGTGGTTTGAATGTGTTCATGTTTATAAGACATAGGCAATCGTGTAAAACTAGAGAGGATGTGCTCTAGTATTTACTAACGTGGGCAAGATCAATGCTTTTTAACTAATGGGTTACCAACTTCTTTTTTTTAAGCTCATTCAACATTGGACAGCACTTTGGTTCGGTGAGTTTGAAAGAAAAAATCCCTTATCTTCTGATTGCCTTGATTCATAACCTCTCTGTGAGCAACCTTATAGATAATTGGATATATGATAAAGAACTGTGTTAGTCATAAAACAGTAATCTCTCATGTTTTATTACTGGAGTGGAAGTGTTATACCACAAGCTTTGTATTTTTCCACAATTGTGGCCCTGTACTGCATGCCCCAGCAGGTCTGGCATGTATTGCTATCAATCATTCTGCCTTTTTGTGCAGGTGTCACGTCTCCTCCTTTTGCTTCCTTTTTTCCCTTTCTTTCTCATAGTAAATCAGTGAATAATATACCTTAGAGTATTATCTCTATCTCTTAATTGACTCATCACATCAGTTGCAGCAATACAGACTTCAGTCCAGCTTTTCTGGACTTAAAAGGCTTTTTGGCAAGTCAAGAAATTTTCTTCTGTCACACTTGTACTTTGCTGTAGTTAGCAATTGTTCATGTTTCTCATTGCAGTCCTTGCTCGTTGTCTCATGCAAAGTGTGGCTGAGTACCACACTTCCTATCTTTTAAATCCTCCTTTATCCTGAATCCCCTTTTTGATTGGGCTGCCTAGGAAGAAGAACAAGATGTTGCTGAGCTGGCCATCTTAATGGTCTCATTAAGATACGGAATATGTACATTCAGATAATATTTTCCCCCCAAATTTGTTTTATTGCTATCTTTGCTCCTACCTCAAAAAGTTTATGGTGTTGGCAGCTGTAGTTTGTTGTCAGTACTGACAGCACTTGATCACCATCCTTCTAACTCCTCATGTGATCTAGAGGACCTTTACTTTCAAAATAAATTCTATTCTATTTTCTAAAGATTTCTGAACCTTTTGTCAGTTATGTTGCTGCAGCCCTCTCTAGGTAGGAGGCTGTAAAACCATCTCTTTCCTGTGGTACATATTCTGATGTCAGATAAGCAAAGAGTCTGATTTCATTTTGTTCAAGTAGACTGGCATGTAATCTTTGGAGCTT